GTATATAAGTTCCCTGTTACTACTTCCTATTTACTATTCGAGATGGTCCAAATTAGCAGACCCAAAATTAGGCCATTTCATGGGGAGGAAGGGTGGGAGAGTGTGAATGGAGGTAAGAATTATTGAAATTACATTTTCAGTAGATGAAAATGTTAACTTCTGAAACACGCTTACCTCACACTTTAGCTAGAATCCCACATTGACAAGGTGGAGGGGCCAGTGAGGGCAAGATCCACACAGAAAAAAAGAGGTATTGGAAAATGAGATAGAGTAATAGCACACTAGTGGGATCCACACTATTTCTAGAAAAAGTATGCTCTTCTCCTGGACAACATGAAATCTAATTCCTGGGTGGTAAATAAGCCAAAAATGAGGCAAAATCCTAACATTGTTAGAAAAACATGTATTCGTTCAGGCACTACTGGGCTATCATGAGTAACGCTTAAGGGGATTTTTCCCATCTCTGCTGGCCCCTAGATTTAACAAATTTTGGTTGGTTTACTTTTCAAAATAGGGAATGTGGTTCACCTACTGCAATGTCCATTTAAAGAAAAATAAATTTCATGTTATAAGGTCATTTATTACTAGTATTAAAATGTCTTTTATATACTAATATGCATTACAGAACTTAAATATTAATTTATTTTTGTGTGTGTTTGTGTGCATACATAAAGGTACTTACATCTGTTTCTCATCTTTAGAACAAAGCTGTGTACAACCATAGGCATTGGCAGTCAACTAAGGAAACACAGGACGTCACAGAGGTAACCATAAGATCAGTTCAGTAAATCAAAGTTTTAACATGGTGTAGATGCATCACATATTCCGAAAACAAGCAAAATTATATTAACTTTTAGCATCTAATCCATCAAGAATGGAATGATTTAGGATGCTTGTCTTTTTCAATTAATGTCAATTTTATTTTATATTTATCTTTTCTCTCATTCTTTTTTCATTAAGGTATTATCTGTCTATGTGTACACAAGTTTGTACATCAGAGAGTTGGTTCAGTTAACGTTTGAATTTGTTTAAGTAAAGACAGGAGCAGCTGAAGTTATAAATGGACACTCTATAAGAGCAATCATGTTACCAACCTTGTTTAATCTGATGCTTTGAGTATTATTAATGTTGTCTGAAATTTGTGAAGGCTTAGCAACCTATGGCAAGCAGTAAATGAGTATAAATTTCGTAACTAGAAGAGATAATTGTTTCTTTATTTACTGTTATATGTTTTAAGAAAAATAAGTTTAAGAACTTATTTGTAAATAATAATAATAATGTATATACATATATAATGTATTATAAGTGAAATGTGACTGTATTTTACAAAATACTAGTCCACTAAAACACAGCAAGACAGGTCACTTTATAAAAGCCAGTTTTTTATACTCTTGGCTACAATAACATGAGTGCACATGCACTGCTTCATTGCAACTTCTGTTATGTTAGCCAGGCATGGTTGAAAGGTCAATATAATAAAAATAATAAATACATATAAATGTATAATGTTATGAAATTTAAGCTACTTAGACTAAACATTTGTGTTTTTATGTTATACTTTGTAGTCATTCTAGAACGAAAAAAGCATAATTTATATTTATTTTTATGGCGGTTACGAGGTCGGTCAAATCGACCAAACTTGCACAGAGATACAGTAGTGAAAATAGCAGATAATATATAAAGTTTTTTCTAAAAAAAAACATTTGATAATTAGCTGGAGGTTATAAAGATTTTGCATGTGAAATTTGAAAGAGTTCTGATGCATAAAAGTATTTTCAATTTTAAAAATCAAAATTACTTTGCATGTTGGATAGTCAACATGCAAAAAAAAAGGCATGATAAAAACATCACTTAAGAAATCTTAAAACTTAATTACAAAAAATTGGATATTTTGTATATGAAAACCTTATAATGTTTACTAATAATCTGCAAAATATTGGTAGGGTTAAGGTATATGATGATAATCAACTAAGACAAAATGTTTTGACCATCTATGTTTGTATTTGGGTTTGCCCTTAAAAGTGGATAAGTTGGTGTATTTTCAGTTTCTTCTGTAGTAAAAAATAAGTTTCAATAAGTTTTTAGTACCTTAGTTAAAAAAAACAACTATAACTCAAAATTAAAAGTTAAAACAAAAAAAGGCTATTGGGTAGAGGCAGGGTAACAAAATGTAACCATAAACCTGATATATCCAAGACAAATAAGTACAACTAAAAGTAGATAGATTGGCTAAAAACGTTTTGGATCATTGTAAATAATAACATATAACATAACATAATATTTTGGGACAACATGGGACCTATTGGTCAATCTTAGCTGTTCCATCCTCAGAACTAAATTAAAATTATTTAAAAATTATTATTATAATAAAATCTTAAACCCAACCGCTTTCATTCATATACTTATCACGCTTTTTCTTAAACCACTTAAATTTACTGCCTCTACAACATCCAAAGGCAACCCTTTCCAAAAGCCAACCACCCTGTTGAAAAATTAAACTGTCTTAGCTGAAGATGACTCCTACCTTGCTAAAATTTATATTTGTGTCCCCTAGTCCAACTATTCTCATTGTTAAATATAAAAAAGGTGATACATCAACACTATCAATTCCCTTTACAATCTTAAACACTTCAATCAGATCCCCTCTAACTCTTCTTTTTTTCAAGAGAAAACAATTTGAGAGATTTCAGCCTCTCATCATATGACAACCCCTCCATCCCAGTCACCATTCTAGTAACCCTTCTCTGAACCATTTCCTGTCTTTTCTAAGATAAGGAGCCCAAAACTGAAC